AACTTCTCACACACTAAACCTTTCAGCATTTCACCAATGAAGCTTTTTATGGATTTGAATTTGCTTTTGTCTGCTTAGATGCTATTTATATAGGAACATTTGGTGTAGAGAAATACTTCAGAAATTTCGAACTATAACAATTTTTTGGTATGTTGAATTGTATTTCCTTAATATACGGAATTTCCTTAATACATAAACGCTGATTTTTGCCCCAAAATTGCCGATACACAAAGCCAAAATAACAAGACAAAGAATTGCACAAACTCGGTATCCATGTACACTTCGACCTATTTTCACTTAAAAAAAACCCAGAATTGCACAAAAATGGCATTCCACACTCCCTTGACTTTATCCATGTACACATCCACCTAGTTTCACTTAAAAAAACATCAGAAAATTGCACAAACTAGGCTAAATCGGCGTTACACAAAGATAAAATAACAAGACAAAGATTTACGCAAACTCGGTATCCATGTACACATCGACCTATTTTCACTTAAAAAAAATCCCAAAGTGCACAAAAATGGCATTGCGCTCTCTCTTGACTTTATCCATGTACACATCGACCTATTTTCACTTAAACAAACATCAGAGAATTGCACAAACTATGCTTTACGCACTCCCTTGAGTTTGGCCATGTACACATCGATATATTTTCACTCAAAAAGTCAAAGGAGCACCCATTTCTACAGTGGAGGCAAACAAAAAATACATAATAAATTACATTTTAAACCAAACAATAAAATAACATATAAAAGGAAAAACCTGTTATGTATTTTAGCACTACACAAAGCAAATATCCACTTACCTTATTTAGAAATTCGTTCGTCTTCATTCTGTGGTACACAAAATTCCTTAACAGCATCCAAAAACTTGCTAACATTATCTGAACTACAATCCGTATATCGGCGTCGCCACATAAATTCACAAAAATAAGAGTCAAAAACGTAGTTCCGGACTGTCCATAAAATGGCTGCTAAGTAAACCTTCATTTACACACCAGTCAATTAATGAGCTTTCCCCCTTTCGTTCCAAATCGTACAGAAACTTCAAATTAATCCTACCACATTCAGCCATTGTACCGTCTAAACAATTAAACAAGCAATGTACTTCTAAGCAACACACACCACAGCCCTTGAAAAACATGTCATGATTCAAAATTTTCTCGAAATAATGCAAACGCTTTCGTCATAATAAGGTTTCCATAACATTCAACTACTCAGCTTACAATAAATGATACAAAAACTTGGCGATAAACGAAACAACAACTTGGCGATAAATGAAACAACAATTTCACAATAATACGTACAAGGGGTACCTCAAAGTAAACTCTAACCATTAAATGGTATTGCCCACGCTTGAGACATCTCGGTTCGTTGTTGCAGAAGGTCTGCCCGTGTCCGAATCTCTCACACATAAAGCACATCATAGTGCTTTGGTTACTTCTATACGTCTGAAAGTAACTCGTAGAGCGAGTAAAGTCTTTTTCTTGTAGCTGTTTCTGCCCTCGTCATTCCTCCTAAAAGAGGTGAAAACGACATGTAGCTTGACCTCGTTTCCTTCTTTTTTCCTAGTGAACTGAGTAAAATTTATCACAAGAAAACCGTCCTTAGTAAGCTCCGCCTTTATTTCTTCAACTGGCGAATCGTCGGGCAAACAGCGAATAACTACCTTAAGAGGCGTATCGGAGCACTGATGATAGTTTGGCTGATAGTGTGGGCTCCTTTCAGTGTGGGCTCCTTTCTTCTCCAGCCCGATTGTGTGAAGAGTCAAAAATCAGGGTAGCTTTGTCTCTTGTCAAAATTCCAACAAATTTCTTTACAGTCCTCTGAGCTCACTCCATTTTACCTCAGGTCTGGGGGAAAAAAAGGGCAGCATCTTTTCTTCTTTAGTATTCATACCAGTCACGTGGGTTTCATCTTCAACTAGCACAGTCCATTGGCTCGATGGCTGCAGGAACCGTAAAAAGAGCTTAGAATTTATTTTTCGTCTTTAAATCTTTTGCTACTTCAGTAGTGGGAGTCTTAGCAGAAGAAATTTTAGCTTCCGTGGCGGAAGCCATATACAGCTTGGCTGTTTTGGCGGGTGTTATCCAACCTTCATCATCCGTCGATTGCGATGTAATGATCCTTATTGAGAACAGCGGGCAGTAACTTACGACTTTACAGACTTCTTTCTCCTTTTGAGTTCCAGTGCCTTCTAAAACTATCGGATCGTTCTAAATCCCTTAGATAATTTCTATTGTAGAATTGATCTTTACAAAGTCCTTTCATATCAGCAAGGGTCCAGAAAATCTTTTCAGTTCTGCGTAACACTGCGTTCACAGGCTTACCTTCACTTAGCTGTTGCTGTAAATCATCCACTTTTTCAGTCTTAAAAAACTCTGAAACTAGATGAGATTCCGGATCAGATTCATCATAATTCTAATGAAGAATCTCATAAGTTTGGTCAACGAATACCGATCGATGCTCGTTAGACATGGAGCAAAGTCAAAGCACGAGGCAGGAACGTACGTTGAAACAAACAATCTTTTCACACATGAAGACCACCCTTCGAATGACGATTCCTTACTTAGAACTTAAATACTTTAATATACCGAACTATTGCAGTATGCAACCTTGGCGATTCTTGAATTAAAGCCCGAAGATACATGACGTATAAAATATATCGAACTATTACAGTGTGCAACTTTGGCGGTTCTTGAATTAAAGCCCGAAGGTACATGATGTATAAAATTCCGGACGTGGGAAAATCTCTGAAGAGAAATCGGAGTAAGGTGGAGAAGGAGGGGCCACAAACCAAACATAGCAGAGCAAAGCGAGACATAAGGAAAAGTCACTGTAATGTAGTGCCATCTGTCGAGTTTAGATTTAACTAGTACAGTCATCTTACTTAAGGAGATGGAAAATTAATCATCCATGCCGTCTAGAAGTTCAACTAAGCACAGTGCTTGCTTCAGTTTTTCCGCTGCTGTTTTCCCATATGTGAGAGTTCAGGAGAATATTCCGGTATGTTAGTCACAGGAGAAACAACTTTCTGTGATGGAACAGCTTTGTTACAGAACTCGGGCGGCGTAGGGGCTTTCCGATCAATAGCACGATTCTTACGAATTTTAGAATAAAATTCACAACGTTTAAAAGAAGCCACGTGATTTTTGCCACATCGGACACAAGTGGGTTTGTCATTTTCGGAAGAGTACATGTATACGTGAAATGGTCTTTGCCACAGATTAAACAGGTTGGTTGATTATTACAAAACATTTGTCCATGGGCAAAACGTTGACATCTAAAACACATCATGTAACTACGATTCTACGGTATTTTTGGATACTCACTCTAAGATTTAAGAGTGTACGCTTGTAAGTGCTACGCCCAGTGTTATCTAGTTTTAAGGAGGAGAAGAAGACATGTATGATTCCTTACCGTCTCCAGCGGCAGTTAAAAACCATTCCAACTTAATCCCGAGCTTTACATCATCCAGACGTGTTCTTTGTAAAATGCAGGGATGGTCATAATATTTTAGTGCGTCAGTTCGCCTGCTTTTTCGTCAGTTTAATTCGTCTGCTTTTTATTACCCTAAGATGCAACTTCCAAATGTTTCCATTGTCTGTTCCTTTTCGAATGATCTACTCTTGTTCGGAAATTAGGTTTCATCAGCGTTTTTCATACCTAGGCAAACTTGCAAGCTTCTTCATAAGCGAGAATAATAATATTTGATTTCCAAAGACTATATGTTGTAAAGGAAATTTATCTCCTTCACATTAAAATATTAATAATTTGTTAATTTTAAATAAAGTCTTGAATAAAAATAGAAGAAGAACAAAACACTAACAAAGTATTCTATAATGATTAGAATAATTCTATAATAAATAGAACAAAAAGTGTTCTATTATTATTAGATACAGATTGCCTGAACGACTGTAAAGAATTTAAAAAAGGTTTTCCTGAAAATGAGCGTATTGCGTACTTGCCTGCAAAATTTTTATTTCTTATAGGATTGTAATATATTAACGTCATTATACACTTTCATATAATTTAGTATATTATCATTCATCTTAAAATATTGTTAAATTTAAAAAGTACTTAAAGAAAAATTTTCATTTTAGCAATAATTTTTAAATCACTTTTCATTCATAATCTTTGAAAAAATATGGTTTCCTCCACATCTAAGTTACTTGAATTTTTCAATTTTCGAGACGATTTAAAATAATTAATTTACATCTCAAAGCTGGAAGAAAAAAAATTAATGCATTTTCCTGCCTCGCATAAATCCAAAAATGAACTTATAGTATGTGTTGCTTCATAGCATCACGTTTTTCCATTACTATTTTTACACTATTAACCGATGATAACATTGAGCGATGAGAATATTCATCACTATAAATATAATTGGAACACAATGTTTATTAATTCCTCATTGATGATGAAAACGCACATACGCTGACTAATAATTGTATTAAAAAAATAAAACGGCAGATGTGGAAAACGCATATAAATTTCCCTTTTGCGACGCCCTTCATTTGCGTAACAGTATCTCAGTCCGACATCCGGAACTTCTAATCCAGTCTGAGTGTGACCGCCCGTCAACTGATAAAACAAGCTTCACAGAATTAAATAATTACTGGGTGTTGCCGCATTGTAAATATTAATGTAACTGCAAAATTACATTAATTATTTAGTTTTCTTCTCACTTTCTAAGGTAATCTTTGTTTGGAATTATTGAAATTGCATTATTATTGTGAATTGCATTATTATTGCATTACTATTGGAACTTGCTTTCATATTTCATAGCACAAGTGATACGAACAGATTTCTGCTGCTATAACGGCAATCTTTTTTCTAAACATTTTAAAATGAAGCTCAGCAGGTGTCATTTCAAACAGCTTTTCCCTTTCTCAAGACACAGTTAACTTATCAACTACGTCAAATTTGTTACAAGCGATAAATTGTATTGTAACAAATCGAAATTTTGACATCATCAGATAAACCACATCCGTGATGCACAGACAGAAAGTAAGTGCTAGCTAACCTAAATGCTATCCTGATCATTCGCTCACTTAGGTTTCAGAAGTGAAGTTGCTGTTAACTGTTAACTGTCCTAAGTACGTTCAACGGTGATGTTTTTAATTCCAGTATTTACTCTTTCTGCGTTATTCGTTGCTTTTGCTTCTAGCGCTATTACGGTTTGCCCTCCTGAGAAAGATTTGGAACCATGCTATTGCAGACAATTGGCATCTGGTCTCTTTGTCGGATGTGCCAATTTCAATTCCAGTTCCAGTCTCGTAAGAGCTTCTAAAATCATGCGCGAATACTATGTGACTAAAGTCCTTTTACATCGTTTATACATCACAGAGGTATTGCCGAGTGATTTGTTTCATAACACTTATATCAACGGATTAACAGTTGAGAATTCCACATTAAAATTCTCACAGCCTGCGTTTACAGGTTTGGATGATACTTTGTACTACTTGTCCGTTGGAAAACATTCTGTGATCAAAAGCAAAGATGATTTCACTTTGGCACGCCTTAGCAAACTTGAAGAGTTTAGAATGAAGTTCAATAACCTGCCAAAGATCCAAGGTACATGGTTGAAAGGAAAAGTTCCTAATGTTCGTAAACTCGTCTTAGACGACAATAATATAATCGAAGTCGAAAGAGGTGCATTTTCTACACTGTCACAATTAAAGAGTATATCTATGGCTAACAATCAAATCATTAAGGTGAGCAGATCATTATTTCCATACCCAGCCGAGCATCTGGAGACCATTGATCTAACGTAAAGTATATTTTCTTTTCAATTATCTAAAACTGCTTTGTTTGAATATGAATTAGGTTTAAATTTTTGATTTAATTTGTTAATATTGCTACGAGTTTTTGCAGGTGGCAGTGTATAATTGGAGATTAGTTTAGAACTTTTATCTGGTACTACTTATTTACTTATTATATTAGATATTATTTTTATTATTTATTATCTACACATTTTAATATATTATTTTAAAAAAATTTAAATCCAATTTTGAGCATAATAGTTACAAACGTTTCAAAACATATATGCTAAAAAAGAAAAATATATTCTTTTCCACAAAAATTCAAAATTTTATATTAGAAAACATTTGATAACGTAAATCACAGAAATGAGAATTTAGAATTATAATTGATAGCAGTGATCTATGCAAAACAATAAAAAAAAAACAATAATCTAGACATAATTGAAGTAAACTTCTGATTATTTATCGTGTGGATGAAAATATATTAATTTAAATGTAAAACATTATGTATTGATATAGTATACGATCGATCCCTTTTAGTTAGCTATTTATTTCTCAAATATACCCATTACCAGTAAAATAACAAAATTAAATAATACCAATCAATTAAAATTTCAAATATACATATACCATTGAAATCTTAATTATAGTGCTAATATAGTTTTAAATATGAAAATAAAGACAAATAATTCAGTATATATTGAATGATTTTTAATTCAATTAAATTTTAATTTCGTTCAGTTTTACAAAACAAACGCAGAAGTGACCTTTAAAAGGGTTAATTTTATAAAACATATACACTACGAATGCAGCGCTGTAGGGCCAAAAATAGTCTTCAGTTTTATTAATGAATCTCCATCTTGCTTATACGAGATAAAATGAAAGCATTTGTGCTGAGATAGTGATATTTCGTATATTGTGTAAAATCTTTAGCTTCAAAATCAGTACTATATGCAGGATTGATCAAGTTCTTTTGGTAGTTTAGCAGTTCGAGAACTGGATTTAGGATATGACCGCAAAAACAGTGAGCGGCATGCTACGTCATTGACGAATTTTACATTAATTTGTATAATTTGAGTAGAAATTAGCTTATGCAAATTATGTAATTAACTTATGTAACATGAGCCTTCATTTTTTACCTTTTAAACTGTACTCACACGAAACTTATTTCATTGAATTATACTAGCTCTATAGCTGTTTTGTAATACTAGTATGTCATTAATGCTCATAAAGTAATGTTTACTTAAAAAAAAGTGCTTTCTGTCGAGTGTCAAGAAGCCTTATTAAGCATTTAATAGTGTACGAGATGAATTAAATAAATCATGTCTGTAGAGCGATATGAAAAGGACGTTAGTCATATAGGAGTAAATTCAAATTAGTTGTGCAACCAAATTACATCTAAATTAGTCACTTTTATTATAGAATTTAAATTTATATTTAGTACTTATCAGTTATGTCAGTAACAATTTTGTATAATCTTTATGCTTCGGAACAACTCTGAAATATTTGAATAACAATTTCAGGCTATGCAAATAATAAAGCGTAAGCCTACAGACATTTCTGATACAAACAAATTGATGAAGATAGCCACAAATTTAATTCTTTTAAATGCTGATTCTAGACGCCTTTCCTCAATTGCAAATTTCTACAGGATTTTTTTAAAATCAATTTTCATATTACATGGTCTGTAAATGTACTTTGAGTTTTGCACGATCCGCGTAAATTAATGTATTTCATTTAATAAGCAGCTCATGATGCTTAGAAACTTAAATACAAAACTTTCCGCATATTTTACAATTTTGTGCAAATTTCGACTTGATATTCAAAAATGCATTACACATCAAAATAGGATTTCAAGGTCCATTATTATTCAAACCTTAATTCTTAAATTTTGCGAACAAATGAAGAAAAACTGCTCATGAAACGTGTTGGAGACGGCTGCTGCAGACAGACGATTAAGTAACGGCTGTGCGAAGTCCACAGAAGGAGCGCCGCATTTGATTGGACTATTTTTTATTATTATTTCTTTTTCCTTTAACTGCGAACTAAGCTGGGGAATTCCCTTTTCACTCAGTTATATGTATGCGCTTGTTAAAGGAATGTAACGTTTTCCGCTTGTGTGTGATATCCATATTAAAATATTCATATTAATAATCCCTGCTGTGATTATTTAATTTGTAACCTGCACGTTGTAGTCCTGAGAGTTGCAACAAAACGTTTTGGACATAAATGGTGTCATATGGAGAAAACGATGACGTTTGTTTTAAAATATGTATCTGGATCATGAAAGCATATACATACAGCTTTTGCATGTAAATGTCAGAAACGGTCTAATCTAACTTATTAATGCACCATGAATGTTTTATTAACTAAGATATTTTCTCAATGGGAACATTATAAAACATCAAATATAATATTTAAAAAAACGTCCTTTACACAGTATTGAAAGTATTCTGTAATATTTCACAGTGTATTTTTAGATTTTCTTTTTTTAAGTTTCTAATTGGAAAGGCCATATTAAGTAACTCTTTAAAGAGATAAAATTTTTATAGCTTCTCTTTTCCAATACACTGTGTAATATTACAGTTTAAAATGAGTACAAATAGGAATTATAAAACTTGGAAGTTGTTATTTTCTCTTCTCTCTTCTATTATACTATGCAATATTACAGTTCAAAACAAATGTAAATATGAATTATAAAACTTGAGTTTGTTGATTTCTCTTCTCTCTTCTAATATACTGTATAATATTACAGTTTAAATCAATAAGAATATGAATTATAAAACATGAATTTCTTATTTTAGTGACAATGAGATCGAGACATTGCCATTTGACTTCTTCTTTCTTATGCCTTCCTTGACACATGTCCTCCTGGCTGAAAACAACTTAAAAACCTTACCAGAAATGACATGGTTATCAGTATGGGAAAATCTGTTTGATGTTATTCTGATAGGTAACTGCAAAATACATTCTCAAATAATTGCATTTTTTAGGCTTTTATCTTATTCGTGTATATATGAAATAAAACTATTGATATATTCACGGATTCTTATCACTTGAACTTACCCAAATCGTAAAACAAAAAAGCGAATAATAATTTTATTGATTAGATTATTTGACTAGATTTATAGTTTCAGAATATATGATCAGCAATTTATATCTTTCAAGAGTATATGATATGCCGTTAAATACATTATCGAAGTCACGCAATAATCGGTATCAAGGGGCGTATCATTCCGTAGCTCTGCACGAACATTTAGTTGATGAACATCTAAATCTGCTAATTGCAAAGATGCTCGCAGTTGTCCCCTTTGAAACTCCTGAGAAAATTTTAAGCGTTGAAATGAGGAATGCGCAGTTATTATTTAGGTTTTCATCCTGATTCGCCGGTGCATATCACGTGACCCGAAGTGATCTTATCTCACGTAAACTACGCTACAAAAATCTAATTCTCTCAGTAATTATCTACATTAATTTCAAGTTAAATTTTAAATGAGATCTTATGACGTACAAGTTTAAATGCAAGAATTATTTCAATTTGTATGAATAGCTTACTCAGAAATTATGCAAAACGGCAGTGCTTTACTTCGCTAGTGCATTGTCATTAGATTTGAAGAATTTAACCCTTGATTTTGCCTTTTCTATATTTTCGCCTTCGAGTGAGTGGTTTTATTGCATCCTAATCAATTACCGCGAATGGTCTTAGGGCAAAACATTTAGCTATCTTGTAAAACTTCTATGTAATTGTATGTCAGTATTGAAAGAAAGAATCAATCTGATAAGAAATGGCTGCGACTTGTTTTGAAAATGAAGGGTAAAAGGTTACCAGCAAAGATATTCCGTTTGGCATCAGTTATACCATTATTGGCGACTTTATCGTTTGCGCCGGCGAAACGGAAAAGTACCACTAGTTCTTATATTATTATATCTTTATTTTATTATTTTCTTCTCATTTCAAATTCTATCTCTGTTCTTCTAATTAGCTGGTTAGCCACCATTTCTAATTTGATTATCATCTATAGAGTCTTTAAATAATTTCTCCGCATGCCGATAATTAATAATTAATAACCTAAATTTTAAATTTCTTAACTATATATATATATATAAGTCTGTGTATATGAAAAAATATGTCCTTTTCATTGCAGAAAACAAAATAGTGTGTGATGGGAAGTTGGAATGGCTGAAGAAGCTTCCTCGAGTCAAGAACTTGAAAGGTGACTGCGTTGCTCCTAAAGAAGTAGCTGGAAAACCAATTTGGGAGGTATATTATGGATGGGATAGTAACATCATGTAGCATTGCCATCATCTAATTTCGTTATTTTTAGATCGAAAAGAGAGTAAATATTTATTGATGTTTTTCTTCGAAGTTTTATTAATAATGTTGTATATGATAATTATCACATATTTCGCTATTAATTGCATTTTCTTTAGAATCCTTGTATTTTACACGTGATGCATTATAGCCATCATATTTGTTAAACATATTTGATATAAAAATGATTACATGTTTAGACTTTGTAACATGTAAATAGATAACAGTGATTGGAATTTTTTTAGTATTGCTTTGGTGATTTTGTATAAAGGTTAGAAAAATTATTTATGAATTTTAATTTTGTAAACATTTTTCAAAATAAAGCATCTTTATTTTTTGCCTAATTTCTTATTTCTGAAAACCATTTCCAGTTAGACACACAAAGTCGTCTTCAAAGTTTTAATTCGAATTCATAAAAACTTTAGTTGAGTAAAAACAGCTCTATCATAGCATAGCCTTCTACATACAGTATTTCTGACGTTGTATACTGCTTAAAGTATTAATATAATTTATAAATACTTGTAAACTGGGCAGCTGAAACGCTACTTAATTTGTTTCTAACGTGTTCATTACATTTCGAAATGCTCCCAGAGTTTTGTCTTTTAGGACAATATTTCACTTTAAAAAAGAGAAAATAATCTGATTCCTTCAAAGCATTGAAAAGTTCCATTCAATAAACCCAAACTTGTTTTATATTTTTACATCTGATATTCAGTCAAGCACAGTAATTCTGAAATAGACATTATAACGTTGCGCGCCTCCAACTTGCACGCAACCAAGGGGGTGACTGTGAAACTGTATAAAAGATAGAGCCTTTTGAAGGGTTTAAGTCCCTTTTTATTCAACGTAATAAATTACAATTGCGTCCTCTTGACGCTTACAGACTGTGCCAACTTGGCAGTCAAATAAAAATAATAACCTGAAAAGAAGGTAAAGACAAGATTCTAACTACGAGGCTCTCTCAAATAACTAACTCACCGCGTTTTACAATACCGCTGCTAATTCAGCAGACTTGAAGCTCACTGGAACGATTACCACTACTTCCCGCCAAGCACATAGCCGCAAACGCGGGGTTCTTCAATTCTCGCTAACTACCTCCGCGCTCGCTAAGTAAGAATATCACACCGAACTTGTTCCTTCTATTTTAAATCAGAATACTTCCGCTGTAATTTGAATGCTTGCGCGTTCTACTAAAATTTACATTTCTGGCATTGGCAGTCCAGGGGAAAGTAAGGCTGACAGGGAAAGATAGTTTAAACTTAAATAAATGTAGTTAAAATAATATAAACCCTACAACATAATAGGGGTCAAAACAAAAAGGTAAGAATCTGAAGCTTTTTTATAATAGCATGGTATTATAGATGACTTATTCCAAGATATATTAATTTAGATCTTTGTGGTGGGCTTCTTCGCTCAATGAATAATACGAACCTCCAGGGATGAAAATGTTAAAATCTAATTCTAAATTCCTTGTATTTGTTTCATGAAAGAAAGGCGGCTCTATCAAAAGACCACAGAAACAACAGAGATTGTTCTTTCTGAAGACACTGCTGGTATTTGTTGCTAAAGATTCGCGTATCGAGCCCAGGAAGTCTGGATTATTAGTTGGCGGTTTACCTTTCAACTATGTATGTAGCTCAGCCCGTCATACAGAGTGTACAAGATTATTTACATAAAGATAAATAACATATAATTATTTATTGATGCATTTGAATTAGCTGTAATTAAACTCTCAAAACTGACTTTGTAAGACGAGGCAATTCCTGTCACAAGTACATTATCTGTATGTAAACTCAAAATTTGAAATCTAACATCATGGGAGCAAGCCGTTTTTAAGAAATATTAAGTCAAAACAAAAACGCTTATAACTGTACACTAATTCTTTATTTCGCCAAGGAAAATCTGATGAATTGACTCCTGCATGAGAATGATTCAGGGCTTCTAAAAGTTTAATCAGAACTTGTAATATGCAACATTTTAAAAATTCAATTAGGTAGTAACTCCTGGTTTGATATCTTAGCCATTAAAATAAATGTTTTACTGTTTTAGGCCTATAGATTACAGATGTAGTTAGTAATATGAATATAATAGCATAATCACAATTCACAACATTATTCAATTAATATATATTGATATTTTACTGAATGAAAAGTTTACTTTTATAAATCATAACTCCTACGCAAAAGATCCTACTTCTCCTTTGCGAACGGAAGAGCTTATGAATATGTATTCAAGTACTAAACTTCAACTGAATTTTTCAAGCAGAAACTGAGAGAATCTTATATCTACAAATAATTAAGCTTGTGTTTATGTATACAGATTTTCTCAAGTCTGCCACATCCTTAAATACAGGAAAGCACTAAAAGCTCTACAATCCAAAGAGCTAAAGGTAACCTTGAATGAGCATTTATCTCCAAGATGTTTCAGTTTGCACCATAAGGTATTTTCTCCCTCCTTTCCATATGCCTTCGTGGTTTAACTGGAAGCACACTCGACGCGTCCATAGCTCGAATCCCGGCGAGAACATTACACAATTTTCCCGTCTCCAGCATTAAAGAACCGAATGACTCTAAAGTGGACCCCGTGCTGAAAACGCGGGGCACGATAATTCCTCACCACCAAAATCTGGCGGTTGGGTCCCTTCCTCCGCAATCGCCCTTTAAAAGGGGGGAGTGCATAAAGTAACTGTAGTAAGTGTATTTTTCTCCCTCCTTTCCGCATGACATCGTGGTATAAGTGGAAGCACACTCGATGCATATCGAGAGACCCGCATTTAGAATTCCCGTGAAGGCTCTGCACATTTTTCAAGACTTGAGAATAAAAAATAACCAAATTACTTTACAGCATCTTAGTTTAAAACTTCAAGTTATCGTCAGCTGAATTCTGATAACAGCTTAGAATTTTTGCAGAAATGTTAGAGCTACAGTTCTGAATTACCTCATTCAATATGTTAGTCGTTATAACAGACATATAAACAGCTGGAAGCTACAACTTATGATGTTAAATGATAAATGATTCTTATTCTTAATGTGGCGTATCTCTTATTCCCTAAGAAGTTATTTGCAAACCAAGGCTGATAAGATTTCGATTCGATTCGAGTAACATAAGAAAATTTTAAAATGCATGCATAGATTTATATATTTTCGAAAGCGTTTCTTAATTATATTTTATGGTTGAATTACTAATTTTTTGAAATTCCTCGAGCTATTATAACTCCATAATAATACGAATCTTGTTGGCGTCTGAAGGGAAAATAAAGTCATTTGAGTTTTTCGTTTTATTTCATCATAAATAATTAGAAAATAATAATATATATGTATTCAAAATCGAAATTCGATTGTTTTTATTGAATATTTAAGTTCCAAAAGTACCACGAAACGAGGCTGAATTTACTGGAACAAATCATCGGTAATAACGATTTATTTTTCTTTTCAAACCCAGTTCTGTTGCTAGCAAATCTAAGACTATTTCGGTCGAAAGAAAACTGCATTCATGATCTTTTGAAATCAAGGCGTAATCATATAACAGGAAACTACAGCCATCTACAACGGTACAGGGAAAAAGTCACGATTAAAAAAAATGCAAAAAATTTATGAAGACTTTTATGCAAAATTTGCACTCAAAATATTTTTCTAAAATTGATTTAACCCAGTGTTATCTTGCCCATCTAACTAGATAACGTTTCTAAAACGGCGATAACGACTAATTTCTAAGGCCTTTTTTACGCTTTCTCACTTCTCACACGTTGCCCAAACATTTCAGCACTTCACCAATGAAGCTTTTCAAGGATTCGAATTTGCTTTCGTATGTTTAGATGATATTTATATAGGAACATTTGGTGTACAGAAATACTTCAGAAATTTCGAGCTATAATAAATTTTTTGGTATGTTGAATTGTATTTTCTTAATATAGCGAGTGTAATTCATGTTCAAATTGTCCTTATAATTATGCTACACAGTACTGTAAATTTCAGAATTCCGAAATCTTGTGCACCGACGAGTCCAATAAAACATTAGAGATGTAAAAATATTAAAAATACCAAAGTAGGTCTTTTATCCCAACCTGCTTTAGACACACATTTGGTATTAAAGATGGATGCGTAAGACTTTGTCATTGAAACGTCATCACACCAAGTTAAATTTTAGGGTTTACAGCCTTTCTTTTCACTTAAACGTCCAGAGGCTAACAACAGATATTCTGCATGTGATTGAGAATTATTTACAACTTATTCAGTAATCAAATATTTTTGTTGTAGGATCGAGGAAAGGAATTTTACATGATACATATATAACACGTTTGCCTTTTTTCATTAAACGTACTGAGTGCTTGACCATGGTAGTAACGCCAGTTAAACTCTATCGCGCACTTTACATCTGGCGCTCCTCGTATTAAATGAATTGATAGCATTTCTAATGTCAGTATTTCCAGAGTTGAAAGGTCTGCTTGCTTTAACCCAATGGATTGCAAAGTACAAACACACATTAAGTAGCTTTTGCTGAATAAATACATCTTTTTTAAGTGAAAGAAATTATAAGGTTATACGGTAATATGAATTCGATTCTAGCAGATTCAAGCAGAAATTCGTTTTTTTATCACAAAGGCTTCAGGTAACGCAAAACTTGTCTCGCCCTTGTATGAAGATTACGAGATCGATATGTATGTCCGGATATAGTTGCTGATTGCTTGCAACAATAATTTATTCCTTGAGCAAACTACACTCATGTCCATAAATTAAGGATAATGTAAAATCAGGCAAAGGAAGAGTTATAAGCAAAACAAATTTGACTTATTTGTAAAGCTTATTTATTAAACAAAAGGTAAAGAGCAAAAAAAGATGTTATATGTTTGATATTATTAAAAAATTAGCGATTTTTCTCCCTGGAGCAAATTACAAAAAAAAAAAAAAAAACCTATTTACAAAAAACCAATATTACATGGGTTGGTATGATTGTTAATACATTGCATGTCTCCCAGACGATGCAATACAGTCCGAACAACGCATAGGCATGCTGAGTATCAAATTAGCGATCTGATCTTGGGGGATATTACACCACACAAAAAGCAATGCTCTCCGAAGTTCCGGTAGACATGTAGGAGGAGGTTGACGGGCTGCAACTCATCGGCCAAGCATGTCCCACATGTGCTCTACTGGATTCAAGTCCGGTGAGAATGGTCCATACGGGTGATATCCTCCGATTGAAAGCATTCGCTTACGATGTTTGCACCGTGAGGACGAGCGTTGTCATCAATAAACACAAATTGTGCGCCATTGGCGCCCCGAAACAAACGTACATGTTGTTCCAGAATGACGTCCCGATAGATTTGGCTTGTCAAGGTTCCAAT